GTGCTGCTGAAGGATTGCCAGAACTCGACATGGGGGAAGATGGAGAGATATGTCGAAGGACCTGGGCTGTTGTCAGAGGACCAGCATCCATTCACAATGTCATACCGGTCCAGATCTGACTTCACCAATGAAGGCTTCCCTACAGAACTCCATACAATCCTCATCCAATGACAGAGGAACAACATCCTCAGTGCTCAGCATCCATTCACAATGTCATACCGGTACAGATCTAACTTGATCAATGAAGGCTTCCCTACAGAACTCCGTACAATCCCCATCTAATGAAATAGATTGCCAGATAGCATCCAGATGTCAACCATGTACCACACTTGACGAACATCACAAGAATGGAATGGTCCCATGAGCAATTAAGCGCTCGCACAAATTGTTTCTGCCTCATTTCTGATTTTCTAACAAAATAACCACACTTCAACAACTCCCAGCACGGTTGATGGTCACGCGGAGGATCAGTGAAGAACACACCAAACGGGCGCTCGAGAGTGCACGAACCTATGAAGGAATGGAAGTGTCTGATCCAATTCATCAGCGATACTCCCGCGATTCCCATCCCCACCACCTTGAAACAGTGATCATGATGAACCCGAATAAGTAACAGGGCGAGCGGTCTGCCGAAGCGGACAAGGAATTGAGCAGTGGGGGAGGAAATGGAAGAACAAGAGCAAAGACACACTCGCGCGAGTTGGTCGTGAGGTCGTTCATAAGCTCGCCGACGTATTCTGCCGGCAACGGCTTGCGCGCTGAGCCCGTAAACGCCCAACAAGCGCCCATTTCGGATCAACCCGAACGATAGACTCGTGACCAGTCTGCCTACGAACCGCAACAATGTGGCGAGCACGTTGCCGTAGGCAGACTGGTACAATTCGGAAAGCCTAATTGACCTGGGCCTGAGTTTGAAATTCTACAGGGGTGCCGAAGACTTGCCGATCACCGGTTCCCGGTCCATCGGACCGAATAGTCTCTTTCTCGATTAAACTCCAGGCTACGCCACAGCACTCTGGGACCATAAAATGAAATTCTGAGGAGACAGAAAGCAAGCAATTGCTATGTCATCCAACTGCTCAGCTTTGACCAAAATGAAATATGAAGATTTGAGCCCAGGGCGTGGCACACAAAAAAGTTTAAACTCCGCGCCCGCTCTAATTAACTTATCCGAATTGTACCAGTCTGCCTACGGCAACGTGCTCGCCACATTGTTGCGGTTCGTAGGCAGACTGGTAACGAGTCTACCCGAACGACACAACAGCAAACAACGCCAGATCACTCACCTCCTACTCTCTCATCTCATCCCCCCTTCCCCCGATTCATGCGCCAATCGCGCTCGCTCGCCCTTCTCTTGCCTCACAGCTCCACTTCGCCCGACCCGCGCATACATTCAGCGGTCTTTTCCGGCGCAATCGCGCTTTTCACTCCGGTTCAACACGGTTCTTGCCAATTCATTTAGTGCCGCCTCCTTCTCCTCTATCGCTCGGATCTCGTATCTATTTCATTATCACTCCATTACTCCCTCTTGGCTCGGTAGCGCACGGCACCCATCTGCATCCAGTGACCGGCAAGCTTCATCTCCACCTGCAGTGTTCGATTTAGGCCCGAGTCATCATCCAGGTCTCCTCCATTTTTTCTCCCACCTCATAACTGAAAATTCCTGGATAAGTTTCTCATACTGAAGGGAGGAATAACGCGCGGTGCGCATCTGCATCAGCTATCATCTCTTCGTTGATTCGCCAGTAGACCCCGCCTGTTCGACACAGGCCCGCGCGAATTATTCTGTATTCTTTCATTTCATTTTTAGCCTGCCTCCCAGTCTCCGTCGTGGAGTACTCCGCATGCGAAGAGTCGAACTCAGTCTGATGTACATACTAGTAATGAAATCCAAGAGAGATCTAGAGTTAACGAGTGCGTATGGTAGTACAAGACAGTAAATAAGCGAGCGAGCAACGAGCGTAGCATATTAATATGAGTTCCCTTCATCCCCCTCTCCGTCTGCCCTTTCTCTACGGCGCGTTCCGTGTCGGACGTCCCAAATCTCTCGTTCGCACAGGCACGCGGGCCCCGCTGAATCGTCTGTACCACGCGAGACTCCCGCGCGCAGAGGCGTTTGGTGGAATGCACCTGTCGTGGAGTCGTGTGGACTTACGGCTCAGCACCAGCCTCTTCCCTCCCCACCCGCCCCTCTTTCTTCGTCGGCCCCACCCCATTCACAGGCCTTTCAACCTCCTCCCACTCCTCTAGCCCCTCATTCGCCTCTCTCTCAACCCGCTCCCATCTGCGTCCGCCTCTTGCCCCGCCTTCCCTCTTCCTCGAGTGAGGCGGATGCGTAATAAGATGGTGGAGCGCGTGAAAAAAGAGCATGACCACATCGCCGAGCGTGATACCGATTATGTACGCCGCGAGGCGCGCGTGTTGGGTGCTGGGGTTGAGGAACGGGTGGGCTGTCCGATGCGATGAGCGGGCATGCGCGATGAGTGGGCAAGCATGCACGAATGAACGGAGCGTGGAGCGGCGAAGCGGCAAGGAGAAAAGAAACGAAGCACGCGGCGGGAGAGAAGAGAAGAAGCAGCAAAACGAGAACGCAGGAGCGTGGAGAGAGGAAGGAATGGGAATGAGCGCAGAGTTGGCGCCGTAGGCTAGGAAGTGCCGAAAGCTCGAGCCAGCGCGGCGGGCGCCTGTCTATATACATACCGCGGCGCGACGAAACGGGCGGCCACAGACTACGCCGCGCAGCGCAGCGAAAATAACGCAGGAGCCGCGGGTCCGCGCTGCCAAGGCAGAAGCCCCCGCATTATGTACGCTGAAGCGCGCCCGCCGCGGTACAGGATGCGCAACTCGAATCGTAAATTTAAAGAACGCAGTCTCCCAGTGCACTAAACCAGGCGCACTGGACGCACGCGCCGGGCGGGCGCACGCCTTGTACACAGCGCCGGCGGCAGGGGTACGATGTAGGCCCCAGCGCCTCGGACGCCTCGCGGCCCGCCACAACGGTACCGCAGACAACCGGGAACGAGGGAGGAGGCTGGAGAGATGCGGAGGACGGAAATAGCTCGCGCGCGGCGCATCAGAATCCCCGGCTACAGGAGTACCGCCGCGCCTGCTTGCGTTCGACGCGCGGCACCTCACGCGCAGCACGTGGGCCATACCGGCGGGCGCCGGTCCATGCATTTATCGCGGCGCCGGCCACAGACGACGCAGCGTAGAGAAAATAACGCTACAGCGCAGGAGCCGCGGGTCGCGCAAGAAGGCGGGCGCGCACGCAGTGTGTACGCAGTCCACTGAAGCGCGCGGGCGGAGCTGAGCTTGTAAGAAGGAAGTCCGCCCCGCTGCACTAAACAGTGCACGCTGGCACAAGGGGGCGAGCGAAGGGAGGGTGCAGCAACACAGCACAACGCAGCGAGGGCGTAGGACGCAGGACGCCGCGCGGACCGCCACACTGAGCCTGCCGCACAGCAGACGACACGAGCGCGCAGGGGCGTGCGGCGCGCATTATAACGCCCCGCGTGTCACCGAGGGAAAGAGGGAGAGAAAGAGGGAGGACGGGGAGAGACGGGAGGAGAGAGGCGGAGAGGGTATATGCGCGAAGGAACGGTGCGGCGCACCGAAATGCACGAGATTCAAGTTACCGCCGCGCGGGCGTCGCTTGCATCCGGCGCGCACCGGCGCCGCAGTGCCGCCCACGTAAAGGGAAAGAAAAGCGGGAAAAGCAAAAGAAACCACGCACGGTAAAACCCCTGGCTCGCCTTTGTAATATAAACACGCGCCCACAAAGAGGATCTGGACGGGAAGCGTGAGGAGGGGCGCGGGCGGGGCGTGGGTGAGGAGCTCGAGGAGGGCGAAGGCTCTGTTAAGCGCGTGGAGGGAGGTGTTGGACCACGCTGGCGACGAGCACCGGCGTTACAAGACAGTACCAGAGAAAGTGGTAGAGAAGGTATCCGAGGACAGCAGCACCCAGAATACCACCGTTACGATGAACGCTGCGCCCCATATGCGTCTTAGCACACATCGGCGAAAAGGGGCGAGAGCGGACGCACGGAACACCACGACAGTCGACTGCAGCAGCACATGCGCCGCCTGCATCCCCCTTCCCCACCCTCTGTACCAATACCCCGTCCGCCCCCAGCGCGCGGACCCCGCGGTCTGCACGCCCGCGGCGACGAGGTACGCCGCTACCCCGATGTAGGAGAGCTGCGTGAAGAAGCTGAAGGAGCGCCCGGAGCCGGCGGCGGCGTCGAGCACGAGGGCGGCATAGATGCAGAGGGCGTAGAGCACTAGGAGGAGGCGCACGGCTGCGAGTGCGGAGGGGGCGAGGAGCGGGGAGGAGACGAAGGCGTAGGCCGGGTCGAAGGTCGGGTCAAGCGCAGGCCAAGGAGAGCAGCGGCATTCGGACGCGGCCTCGGTCTGCGGCGCCGGCGAGGTGCGCTGGAAAGTGAGTGCGGGGAGGCAAAGAGAAAAGTGCAAAAGAGTGGTGGGCTGATGTGACGTAATTCGAATCAGCGTGATCACGAATCCCCCAAATAGGGGCTCTTCGACTTCCTCATCCGTTTCCGTGTTCCAGGAGGCGTGCCTACCCTGCCTCGTGCAAGAGCCTAGTTTGCTCAAGAAGGTTTCGAGTGGAGAGGGCGAAGGCGGCGCGGCGGCCGGAAGAGGCGCGTTCAGATGCGCCGCTTGGGGAGAAGTGATGGTTACGGCATCTGCGTATCCACGCAATGTCCGCGACCTTCTCACGGGCTGATTGGCATTGGCAGGTCCGGGCGGGTCCCAGTATGGGCGCGCAACATTCGACATCCATGTCACTATCACTCACGCAGACAAGGAAGCGTGCGTGGTTGCCCGTCTTGTCAATTTTATTTTTATCCGCCACTACCTGGCCGATAATTGGCTGCGCTTGCCTGAGATCCTTCCACAGCGTCAGTCAGTCAATACGTCAGGGCGTTGGAAGTGCACGGGAATGCAACCCGCCAAAAAGAAAATGCATCCTTCACAAATCAAGGCGTGGGCCCGAGTCGAACGAGCACCTTCTGCTGAACGGTCGGAGAGTTCGGACTGCACGCAGACGCGCTCCGTGCGCTACCACACCTCTGTCTCGAGATACATTCCGCTCCCTATCCACCCGACTTAGCTTAACTTTGTATTGTAAAGGGTTCCAACCAAAAAAATTGGATCCTCATCTCGAATGGCGTGGACTCGAGTCGAACGAGGTCCGTCTGCTGAGTGTCCCAAGTCCCTCTTGAAATTCACGCAGATGCGCTCCAAGCGCCACCGCGCCTCTTTACCATATATTCGTGCTTCCCAACTGCACCATTTTTGGTGCAACGTCAAAGGGATCCCCGCTCACGAAACCCCAGCGGTCACGAGATTTCGAGCGCATTAAAGAGCTGGGTAGAGCTTCACCCGGTCTTATAGCACTGCAGGGGTAATTTGAAGGGACCCGACCAAAGAAAAAAGGCCCGCAGTGCCCGCTTACGGCGTGGGCCCGAGTCGAACGAGCACCTTCTGCTAATCCTTGTCAATCAACTCAATCGTATGCAGACGCGCTCCGAGCGCTACCACGCCTCCCTCTACTTTATGTTCGCACTGCTAAGTGCATCATTTTTGGTGCTCCCTGCACCTGCGACTTTGACGAAATCCCGGCCCACAGACCCCAGTAGTCGCGAGAATTGATGAAAGGCCTAGGGAGCGCCTCACCTAGTCTTATAGCACTGCCGGGGTAATCAGAAGGGACCCAACCATAAAAAAAAACTTGATTGCGATGCCTGATCGATGGAGTGGGCTCGACTCGAACGAGTACCCTCTGCTTCGGATCACTCCTCCTAGAAGCCAAATGCAGATACACTCCCAGTGCTACCACGCCTCTTGCCACTTTGCACCTGGCTCCTCAATTATGACGCATGCTTTACTTCACGTAATGTCCATAGATATCACAGGAGTTTAGATGGTGCAGGTTTTTTGCGCAGAATAATTCCTCTACTCGGGGACTATTGGGGTGCTGAACGTGTCGTTGACATATTAGATTCCCGACCCATGCTACCCTACTGAGCCTTACTGACCCACTGACTCACTGACCTCCATTAACGAACTTACTAAGTAACGACGAACTTTTTAAGTACCGCACTTCTAACCTGATATTTCCATCGAAACTCGTCTAGGCCGTTTATTTCCAACTCACGGTTGCAATATTGTGATACAGAGCATCGAGACTCCTCGGCCACTTAGTGCCAACCAATTTTTGGGTTCAATTCCTCCTGAGTATAGAAACTAGTCTAAGCTGTGAATTACCTTCTCCACATTTCACCGTTGCACTCCGGAGCATTGAGACTCTCAGGCAACTCAATGCCCAATGATAACTTCACTCCCTGTCCCTGGAACTTGTCTAGGTCATCGATGACAATCACTGTTTCATTCCAGGCCGTAGAGACGCCTCGGCAACTCGTAATTCTCCGATTTTGACTTCTCGTCACTGACTGGCCTGCAGGATAACTGCCATATTCGCCGGCAGGTTGATCATCGCAATACCTGAGCGCCAGTCAAAATCCGAACAAACCGAGATGGCAACGTTTGGGTCCGTCAACGGGCAGGGAGCGACTCAGATAACGTTCAAGGTAATCTTATCGTAATATCTTTCGAGTTACTTGACTGACATATCGTGTAGGTTCATGACAGTACACGCCTTCACTCGAGGGCGACTTGCCAATTGAGTCCAATCAAGGGCCATTTCACTCTCCGCTATCTCAGATTCCCTTGAATTTCTTATGCATATTTCCTTCATATCTTGGATGCCTTGCTTCAGATGAATGACAAGCAACAAAGTTGTGCCACGCAAAACCCACCTCAGGCTTGTTCTCGCGCTTTTGGGTTCACTTTCTGCTGACAGACCCACTTGGTGCAGGATACCTTCAACAACGATGAAAACGAGAGTCATCCACAGCATGTGACTCTCAACACTGACTGCGTGTTAGAGGTAAGTTCCCCCCTCACTTGCCCCTCACTTGAGAATTTAAAGATAACTTGTCATGTTCAGATGCCGGACGCTGCCCACCTTCGGGATTCGAGTTTCAATCGTGGAGACCAGACCTGCGCTGGGCGAACGAAGACGGGCCTCGAGCCGTGAGCTTCATCCACACCGACGCGGCCGCTCAGTGTCATTGAGAAGAGACGAGCGCGGCAGGCCGCCAGCGCTGCGGGATGTCTCGCATTTGGGTCACCCGAAGGATTTGGATTGGAGCGCCGACCAAATTTTGGATCGGTTGAGCATTAACTGCTCACACGCATGAGTCCTCTCCGCCCATCATCCATAGACTTCGACTTTTTAAATTTTGGTTCAATTCGGAATTTGAGAACGATTATTCAGAAAGCAGAGGGCCAGAATATGCTTGTCTGATGTTCAATCCAATGGAGGCAGGGTATCGGGAAGAGCATGCTTCAGAGAACTAGGAAATGATTCCGATCCCCTGGGGCCGCGAAAGTTATTCAGAGAGTACACCGTGTAAATGGACTGATGCTTGCATCGGCGACGCGCAAGTTTACGGTTCCGTGAACTTTTAGTTGTCAGATTTGTTACAGTGAGCAATATGCCTACATCGTTCTTTTCTGTTTGTGGTGTAGAGGAACGCGGAATTTGGGGGGTACGTTATCTGTCCCTGTTTGGACATTTAGGATCAGCGCGTCGGGCCCCGTGACGTGCTGTCACTCTTGTCCTGTGCCACTCGCCAATGTCTCGACTACCCCGCACAATGAGCGCAATCCTCGAAGCCGTTCTGCTTCGTATCTTCACCTGGTTCCTCATTCTGTCTCGCCTCGCCATGGGTGCAATCCACAAGTACAGAATCGCTACTCGAGGCAATGTCGGAAATCCTCGCCTGCCCCCAGAACTTGTGGATCTGGTCCTTAGGAGTATCGACTATGAGGATAGACGTACTCTTTATTCCTGCGCGCTCGTCTCGCACACTTGGCTGGCGTTGAGCCGCCTCGCCCATTTCTCTGAAATCATGATTGGCCCCCCATACGCCGACACCCTGTTTCGAGCTTTCATGGGCGCGACCATCCGACCCTACGTGTCTATGATTCATCTCGCCGTTAACCCGGACTGCGAATGGATCCAAACCCACCTTCTGAAGTTCCTCGCTCAGTTTCCGAACCTCACGACTTTGTTTCTGCTGCATACCCGGACCGAGATTCTGGTTTCCCAACTAAGCCGTGCAATCTACGATCGCCCTTCTCACTCCAGGGACCACAGCTTTGGAATCGCCATCGTAGACAACGCCGTCACTTTTGTGCGTCAGCAGATCGCCATGGCAGAGGAGCGTCAGGCGAAGCCCTTTGTCGTCGCTGAGCATCCCGCTGCCTCCCCGCTCACCCGGATACGAACCGTCCATCTCGACTACCCAGGATTCAACTTGCGCGTCCTTTCCTTGCTCGCGCTTCCCACCATAGAGACCTTCCACTTGACATTGCGCCACAACGCTACGATCCCCACATGCCTACGCGTCGCCGGTCCTGGAATACGCATACTCCAGCTGTACATCCTTCCGGACTTCCGCCACGAACTGCCCCTAACTCCTTTCCTCACGAAGCTCCGCGCTCTCCGCGTCTACTGCCCGCCACCCTTTTCGGCGGCCATCGCCCTTGCGCAGATTTTACTAAAATCTGTGCTGTCCGCGCCGGATCTTGAGGAACTCGTGATTGAAGCAGCGTTCCCGAAGACGTTGGAGGCGCTTTACAACAGCGAATTCGAGGTTAAGCGGCGAGACGCCGCCCGGGCGGAGCTTGACCTCGTGCTTCAACCGTTAGCTGCGTTCAAGACATTCCGCATGGAGCGTGTTGATTTGCCAGCACCCAAGGATTGATGAGCAGGAATCAGGCCAACCATGGGAACGGTATGTCTGGCCCGCATGAAGCAAGCTACCGCTGATTCTCTGGCAGCTTTTCATACGTACAGAAAGCTCAAGATTCCATTCAAGTTATCGCATAAAAGAGTATAAAGAACCATCCTTCTTCTCATGACGGCGAATTATCATCCGAGGTATGATTTGTCCATCTCAAGTCACCAGCCAAGCGCTCAGAACGAGTAATGTTCCGAACTAATCAGACTACAGCAGGTTGCAGAGTCGGTATGCGGGAGGTTTGACGTAATATTGAGGGGGAAGCGTGAAAAGTGAGTGCCTCCTCATCGTCCGCGCACTCCTTGTGTTGTGATTGATCTCTCCGTTACTCAGGAATAATGGAATAATGCAATGTACATGAACGACACGCAGCACCTGAATAATTAATCATAATAAGTTATCTGTACCAGCGGGTGCCTCGTAACCGTCGGCGCGCTCGTGAAGGCGACAAATGTATGCTCCTCTTCCCAATGCCATCTGAACCTTGCTGTTTCCTCGGCACGGCATTTGCCGGATTATGTTCAGCCTCTTTTCAATCATTTCAAGGAAATTCTAGAGCAATGGAGCGACTTTTCCTACGCTTGGAGTAGATCCCCAACCTTGGCCTCGTTATGTGCTCGATTTCATCAGGTAATTCAACCCTGGCATCGTAGGCTTCCGCTGCACTAGAAAACAGGTGCAAAATGTCCACGAGAGAAATTCGTGACTCGATAGTATCTGAGCGGGCTTCTCTTTGGAAGGCAATGCCCTGTTGAACAAGGAGAGTGCCAGAGTGTATTCTATCTGCCCCCTCTCCTTCTCTCTCCCCAGGCTCCTTCATCCCCCATATCTGCATCGGCGTTCTGCGCTCTGCGTTGCATGCCAGACCGCATCGTCCCAAACCTCCCGTCGCGTTCGCACACCCCGCGCCGGCCCGAATTACGCAGTCAGCGCGTCCGCCTGGCGAAATGCACCAACGGCGTCCGAGTCCAACGGGGGCGTTAAACCGCCGGCGCCACCCCGTTCCCCTCACCCACCCTCCCTCATCTCTTTTCCCCCCGGCGCGGGGCGCTCAGCCTCCTCCCAATCCTCCAACCCCATCCGGTCCGCCTCCCCTTCCTTCCCCACCCCTCAGCTAGTCCGCACTGGCCCCTTATTATAGGCGCGTGAAGAGAAGAGCCGCTGGCGAAGCAGGACAATCGACCGGGAAAGGAAGAAT